GTCCTTTAAGCTTAACCTGCTTTTTGCTTGTTATAAGATATGAGTTATTTAAACTTTCTTCCCAGTCTGTTTCTTTGTTTAATTATTTGTCAGCAGTATCTTTTTGAAGTGGGGGAGATTTGAATCCTGTAAGAAAACCAGAATAAAGATAAACCCACAACTTTGAGTTAATAACCAGGATATATTAAGAATCGTGGCTAGATGGATCTGACCTAGTACACGTGTCCTATATTCCTTCAACAGCATTTCCCAATCAGATATCCTCCATATTCCTTAGGACACCATCTCCTAGAATTTGCAAGTCAGTGATCAGGGTGGTGGGAAATTCTAAAGTGGCAGTCCCACACATTTAGAGAGGACTACATTAGGGGAAACTGCCCTACATTTTCTTTATTCCTGCCATCTTTTTTAAGCATCTCACTAATGATGGAAAAAGTTGAGTAAATGGGTTCACTGGTGGGAAGACAGATAGACATGGAAAACTATTCTAAACTCCAGGTTGTGTGGTAAATTTATGTATCCTACTTGGTGGTTTGAAGCTGCATTCCAGAATTCTCAGAAACATTTCCTGCTACCACCTTGAAGGAAGATCTAGATTCACATCTACCCTCAGTTCTGGAAGCTGACTTCTCTCACCTTTGCTATCATGTGTAGTAAGTGCATAATGATCAAATAGGGAGAGGATGCTGTTTACAAGGATATAAATATATAGCCATGATCTTCTGGAGGAAAGGCAGAAGTTAAACATGCTAAATAATTTTGTATGTGTGTGGTCTTTTAAAAGTATACTACCAATGATTTTTCATTGTCATTTTTTTTTCCAGGGAAGATTATTGCAAAGTATATTAATTCTGCATGTTATAGATTGAGATCAATTTTCAGGAATGTCTAATAGCAGGATGGAAAAAGATGTCTAGTCCAACTGTCCAGGTGGCATCCTGAGGCATTTGTTAGAACCCTCAGGAGCTTAACAGTGGCCATTGCATGTCTATATTCTTATCATCCAGTGTCTGAATGGAGGAAACTATCATTTGATTCTTTCCTCTCAAAGCCCTAAACTGATCACTGATGTCAGTAAAATTGGTTGTCCAACTTCTATTGCTATTCTCCAGAGATTTCCAACTCTGAAAACAAATATATGTCTGTGGGTGCATGTTAGTGTATGCACATAGTGAGGTGGATGAGGAAGATGTAAAAAGCCTGCAGTGAAGAGGTTGTTGAAACATTTTGAGGGAGTCTGAGTTTCTTTTGGAATGTTTTGTCCATTGGTTTTTTTTTGGGGGGGGGGGATTCATATATCCAAGGATTAAGATGTCTTCTTCTGCAATCTCAAGAAATACTTGAAAAAAATATTTCATATAACTTTATTTTGTTATCATTTGGAACATAAATTGGGGCAATTGTTATTTTTCCAAATTCAGCCAGAAAGCATAATATTATGAATTCTCCTTTTTCATCTTGAACTTGTTTCTCTAGAGTCCATAATGATTTTTTTTCATATACAGTGGAACCTCGGTTTACGAACTTAATTCGTTCCGTGACTCTGGTCGCACCCCG